GGAGGTTGCGGTGAGCCGAGATCGTGCCATGCCACTCCAGCCTGGGTAACAAGAGCGAAACTCTGTCTCAAAAAATAAAAAAAAAATAAAAAAATAAACTTTTGCTTTGCTTCTTGGGATAATTGTAACAGCAATGGCATTCCATTCTGCATTCTTCATGATGTTTTTCCTGGTTTATGGGGAAAGTTGTGACTTTTTTTGCTACGAAAACCGGGATATAATATTAGTTGGGAGTCTCAGAGATTTTTCCTAAGGACCCTTACATCGGGGGCAAGTCCAGGATCCGCAGCCAGCCGGCTGACTTGAATCCTTCCTGAGGGCTGACTTGAATCCTCCCTGAGCTTCTGTCTTTGCGCGGGGCTAGTGAGGATTCTGTGGGTCATGTTTGAAACCTTTGGTGGTGCTCTTCTGGACCAGGCTCACAGCCTATGTGCGGGAGCCATGTGTGAACTGTATTTTAAGCATGCCTACTTTTAAAACAATAAACATTACAATTTTAGTGAAAATAATTACATATAGTTGTAAAAATCAATGAGTATACACCCTCCAACCCCATTTCCCATGGAAGCAATTCCTGTTTCTGATATTGACTCCTGGTATTTGTGATACCTCTGTCTCTTTAGCGGATATGCAGGTGTACTTTTATCCGTTTTAGACTTCTTGCCTGGGAGAGGGGATTTAGTTCACTTAAACTACCCTACTTCCTCTTCTTGATACGGTCATACAACCGTTCTTAGATTCTTCATTGGCTGCTTTTGTAATCGTATAGATTGTACATGCAGTTTAGTTTCTTGCCCATGGTTTATAGGTGCATTTTATTAGATGAGAACTCTTACTTTGCTAGATTTTGGACATTAGTGTCTCTACACTTCTTACAGTAATATTGGGGTTCAGGGGTTCAGGGTGCCCTCAGCTCCCCTGAGAGGACGTTTCTCCAGGCTCTTGGTCTCCTGTCCTTGCAAGAATGAGAGAGGGGACCATGGCGCAGTGCGCCATAAATGCCGGACTCAAAAGTGTTTGTAGAAAGTGATTTATTTAGAGAGAGAGAGAAACAGGAGGAGAGAGAAATAGCTAACTCTCATACTGAGTGAGAGAATCCAGAAAGATGGAATCCAGGAGAGGAAAGCAGCTTCCACACTGAGTGGAAGGGAATAGAGAGAGATGGAGTTTAGGAGGGGAAGCCAGGCTTCCATGAAGGGAGTGTTCATGGAAGGGGATCCAAAGATGGAGTCCGAGGGGGTGTGGAAGAAGGGGACTTTTTTTTTTTTTTTAATCAGCTAAGACAGCGGAAGAGGTGATTTATTTTATGGTTGTTACATTCAGCCACAAGTAAACATAGAAATAGTCTAGAGTGTCACAGGTCCAGGGCAAAGGACCAACATGGGCAGTTTTGGTTATGAGCAAGGTGGGTCTCAGAGGTGATGGGTGATCAGATGGCGATGAAGTTCTAGATCCATTGAGACAAGCTCTAGACAGTAGCATGCAGTCCCACAGCTTGTACCAGCATCCCCAGCGTCTGGCATTCCATGTTTCTGCTCCTGTGACCTCCACGGTGCAACAAGCTAGCAGTTTACTTGGACCTCTGCCTCATCTTTCTTCTTTTGCGCTTCAGCCTGCGCATTCATTTCTTCCTCCACTTGGCTCTCATAGCGCAGAGGTTTCCAAAAAAAACGGCGCTAAGGCCGAGAGAAGAAGGGGACTTGTAACCTGGGAGGAACCCCCACCTTCTCTAAGACCCCGGGAGTTCCTTAGAACTTGATCTCTTTTAGTTTCTTCCCGTGTCCGTGAAATTCACACAAACGTTAAATCTCCCAGATGGAGAGAGATGGGAGGGGGGCATAGCGCTGGGAAATTCTTGCCCTTACAACGACGCCCCCTTGTGGACCCTGGAAAGAGAACACCTTCCCTCATTCCTTTGCCCCTCCACCTCCTAATTCAGTCATCTGAAATTCTGTATTGTTAAGCAAGGTCTAACTTTTCCTTTTAGTTATGTGTTCCTCATTTTTCTTAGAGGAAATGTTTGATAGTTTCTCCTAAAAAAAAATAATTGAGAAAAAAAGACTAGTTTCGTGTCAAAACTAGTTTTCAGTTTTCTCTAAAGACTGAAATTGGCTTACAGTTGGGCTTTCCAAATTCAAAAATCTCCCCTAGATTTAGATGCAAAGGGTTAGTGCCCTTTTCTCCAAGGGGATGGCATAGTAATTTCTTAAAGATTTTGTTATAGTAGCTGCCTCTTTTAAGCTAGGTCTGTGTGGCGGGGTTGAGGGGTGGAGGGGTATTCCACATGAACATTCTAGAAAGAACAAATAAAGACTTAGTGACCTCACTGTTTCTATTTACATTTGGTATAATATACTGTTCTTGTTGGAACTATTACCTATGTTAATAGAGCACTTTACAAAATTTTCAAGAACGTTCGTATTTAGATATTTCAAAAGCTTCATTCTTTCTTAAAATAGGATTTTACCATTTAAAAAACA